CATATTTAATCCTTCCGGCAAGACCTTTCATTTAATATAAAAAGCATTGACCTTTGATCAACTCCGAAAGTCTGATGTTTTGCAGGCTTTTTTTACGATGCCAGGTGGCATGGAGGAGTTAGCATCCCCTGCTGACAGGTCACACCCGCCGTGTGCTACTTGTCATGATCGGGAAATAACGGAAAATCCGTCGTCAATTAAGTGTATAAATGATGGACTAACAATATAAGTATGAAACATTTCAGTATGAATTTGACTTAATGATAAATTGTATTTGCTGAGAAGGTCATTGTACCGATCATAGAACTTACGAAATGATGACTTTAAAGGAGACTGCTCAAATGTGTTTGTAGAAGGCCAACTTTCCAGTTTTCGTAATGGCGCCTGATCTGACGTTTTCCTGGCACGTAAAATATCAAAATTGTGAAATAAAAAAAAGCCTGGAAAACGTCAGATATTTCGGACTACTTTTGCTTGGAATTTGACCTGATTTAAAGAAAAAACAAAACAAAAACTTTTACCTTGGTCATAACTTTGAACGGTAAAGGAGAGGGCTTCCATATTTCATGTATGCAATCCTTTTGTCAAGATCTTCCGTTAGAAACTAACAGCTTTGACCTTTTGATCTTGAAGTTTGTCCTACCTTTCGAATACTTGTCTTTTGCCAAAATTTTTGAACACTCGGTGACAATTTTTTTTTCAATTTTGAGTTTTTTTCAAGAAGACCCTACTTTGAGTTAAATGTGATTCTGGATATCAGGGAATCAAATGTGATAAGGGTTACAAGGACCAACCTAGAAATAAAGCGATGTTTCTTCTGTAATGATTTTATTTTCTCTTTTGCTGAATGTTAGAAATATGTCAGTGTAAGGGGAAAAATTGTATGCTTTATAAATCTGCTTTGACAGTTGCAAAAATTGAATAAATGAAAATGTTTTCTTTCTGTTTGATTATTTGCATTTTATGAACAAAATTAGAAAACTGCAAGCATTTTTGCATATTGTATCACTTGATTGGTTCCCTAAATCGGGATGTAAAGCTTGGGTAAAGGGGCATAACTGTTAAATATTTTGTTACTTATTTTTTTTTTTTTTTTTTTTGTATTTTAATTACATGTACTATAATTCTAGTTCAAGGCAACTATCAGATAAGATTTTATAATAGTCTGATACTTTCAAAAATAGTTTGTATCATCTGTTCTCAATACTTGAAACAATTTTCAAATATGACACCATTGTCGCTACCACGTCAACATGTACGATCCTTTCCCATTCTAGCCGTGTTTGAGCGAGAAGAGGAAAGTTAAAACTTCAGTTAAATATCATTCAATGCCAGTATAGCATCATCAGTTACTGAACTTTGTCGCGACCTTCCATTATCCAATCTCAGTCTACGAAATATTTTTGTTAACTGATGATATCAATATTGATTTGAAATATAAAACAACTATTTCATTGGCTTTACTCGACGTCACAGCATGGAGGCGTGTATATTCAAGATTACGATCATTTATGTGATCAAGCAGTCGCCGTCAGGAGAGAGCCCTATCTTGACTCGAACTCCGATCGCGAGTAGTTGTTTGAGACCATGACAGGAAAACCATATTTAATAAATTAACTTTTGAAAAAGAATTTAGCATAAATCTTATTATATTCTGCGGAGACCCATCCAATAAAAACTATGAAAATATTACTTTTAACTGTCTCAAAAAAGGTTTTTTTTTTTCAAATAATTGTCTTAAGGATTAAGGGTCCTGTATTTAAAGGGATTCAATTCTGAGCCCACAACAATGCTAAGGATCTAAATATGCCATTTGCTTATGACGAACGTTAATAATTGAATGGTCAAAGGTATTATTTAGTAAGGGAACAAAATGGAATTCCTATCAGGCAATTATTTTTTTAACTTTTTGATGATAAAAAAAAACAGTGACCATTTTTTAGGAATGAAAAAAAAAATTCGTTCAACATCTGTAAAAATATCAATATTTATTATCATCTTAATTCTTGTTTACATGAAGCATGAATTTTGAAGTGCTACAAAACTTCTCAAGCAATAAAACAAAAATGCATACCTGAATATTGTTTTTATATGATAAACTGTAGCATACTACACTGTACATGAACCTTATACATGTACAGATATTTTTTCTACATGAACAGTACGATTCTGTATTTTGCATTTATCTTTGCACTTATTTGCGTGGTTCAAAGCATTTTATTTAAAAACATAATAAAATTGTTACGCAATAATCAATATTTGCCAGACATGATATAATATTATACAAATTCATCTTTTTATTATACATTTAACTGCTCGATAAGCTTGTCCATGTAAAAATAAATTGATAACACATACATCGAAGCTTTACCTTGACTTTCCCATCAGATTTCCATTTGCTTGAAAATCTTAATTACTTCAATTTTCCTTCTGCAAGACCTTTAAATATAATTCTTGAGAAAATTTTACAATTTTGAAAAAATATAATGACAAGTTTAGGAACAAGTTGTATGTATCAGAGTGTCATTCTTCATAATCGTATTTGTCTGAAATTGTGTTTTACACAATCGTAAGATCAATTGATTCTCTGATAAGAGATATAACACCTAGTGACATAAATGTCTATTATTCCTTTATAGATTTGCCAAGTTGAGGTGTCTTCCTTGTCAAATTTTGTCCCGCGTGCTATGATCTAACTCTTTTTATTTTACTTAACACATACATTCCTTTTTGAAAATCATTCAGGTGCAAGCAACATTTTATATGAGTGAGCACAGGATTTATGAACCCGAAAGATATTTCTGATGAACTGTCATAAGAAAGATATTAAGAACTATTGTCCTATAAGTGTACGATTTGTAAAAAAAAAATACAAATACACCATTTAATACGAATCTCTGTTCAACATTTTCACCTAAAAAAGTAACGATTCGGAAAAAAAAAACGTTCTATTATTCATCCATCATAAACCAGTTTGTCAACAAAACCAAGTTTCTATAATAAATATCATGGATAAATGTTGCAGAGGGTATCTATAAATACTTAAAAGACATTGATGGTGAGCATCAAGGTGATCAACAGCTGATCAAAGCTGAAATGTTTTATTCAAATATAATCAACATCGCTCACGGTACCTTAGTCGGAAAAGCGTTCGATCCGTGATCGATAGATCATAAGTGGGAATCTCGAGCGCGACTGACCTAAGACGGTAAAAATAAACCAGAGGTACTGTGAGCACCCAGCAGGCACACAACATTGAATAAACTGAATGAACGTTGTTTATCTATGTTGATTCAACATTGACTTTATGTTAGATTTTGAAAATTTGTATCAACGTCGAAGTCTAAACATTGAATCAACATTGATAATCAACGTTGATTATACGTTGAAAAACAGTTGATTCAACATTTATTCAATTATTTATTTTGAAAAGGCGGTGTCATACAGTAATAATATACTTAAAATTTCAACCGTTTTATTGCACGGTTGCTAAGATGCCTTCATAATTGTTGAAGGGATAGCGACCTTCTGATAAGACAGATAACTTTCAAAGTACAAAATAGTAATACTACTCACAGTTTTCTTAATCAGTTTCTTAATTGAGACCTCTGAGTACAGTCAGTTTGATGTGATCTTACATATGATGGAAACATTACTTTCTATTTCTTTTGCCAATTTCTTTGTAATTGTTTTATTATATTTAACAATAAAACATTTAAATCCAACATCAAAAGCCTTATAAATTGAATAAGTTGTATCTTTTTAAGGACCATTTTAAAAATGGTTTAATGTTTCAATTACTTAGTACATACAGTATTTTTATTAGTATGACATTTTTTTCACATGAAGAAATATTTAGAAGAAAGATAACTCCTCATCACAGATATACTTTTTTTCTTACAACCACATACAACGTTGTGATTTTCTGACTTTTCTGCTCCATGATGTTTTCTAACATGATTTAAATAGTTGTAATAGTAAGTATTATTTTCATATGCACCTCATATATTATATTTAATGTTGTGGTAATAAATCGTTACTCTTTCTGTTCTCTGGGTTCAATTTCTTCATTTCATGATCTGAACATAAAACTCATTTCTGAAAAATAAGCAACACTTTATACTTCAAACTATTTTCCATGTGGTTCTAATATTATTGTTGTTTATGAAAATCAATATTACAAATTTAAAACTTTCTAAGGTGAAATTTATAGCAGAGGGTCGGGACCTCTTAAATGAAAACATACGGTATATCACTATATGAAAAAAAAAATTATATATTGTAAACAGTAAATGTTTAATTTCCTATCAAAAGTTAATGTATTTTCACATGTGGTCATGAAATAGTCCAGAACAAAACCATTCCAAAGTAAGATGCAAATCTTACACAGTACAACTTTTGATGCACCAGATATGCATTTCGACAAATTATGTCTCTTCAATGATACTAGTACTCTGACATACAGAAATGTTTTCTTCAAAGAGTTTTTTTCTTTTTTAATTAAATCTTGGTGTTGAGTCCTGAGGGTTGCGTTATGCTGTCTTTTGTAATATTTTCCGGATGTCCTACTGCGTATGCACTTAATTCGTACTTTGTCAAATTCGTACTGATTTCATATTTATCATGGAATTTGTAAAATTCCTATATTTACCATCCTTTTTAGTTATAATAGTTAGTAATGGTATACGGTAGTGCGACTTTGTCACGTCCGACCTCCTAATGGTCCGACAGTGTTATATTCCGACACTATCATAGTCCGAATTATCTATCAGCGAAAAATAGGATTGGCCCCGTGTCACGGGAGGCGTTGGCAAAATAGATATCCCTCACCGTCAAATGGCAATGAGTGCCTAGTAAATGACAAAATTTGAACCCCTTAACTGGTTTATAGTGATGTTTCTATGTCTAAAAAAAGTTGAATGAGACGAAAATAATATGCAATAAATTAATCAATCAATAAATAAAATATGTTAATTAGAATTTGTCTAAGTGTGGTTTAACAAGGAAGTTCATTAACAAAAGTGTTTCAATTTGTATGAATTTATTGGTTTATTACTGCTAGTGTTTCGTAATTTTCAGTGCTAGAACTATAATGTACAGAAGCATCCGCAACAACTCCTACCACTGGACTAATTTCTTCGCCCTCTTTATACTTATAATCCATTGCATTTCCCTGCATTTCTCTCTAAAAAAAGAACACAAATGAGGATATGAGAATATTTTTTTTCTCATATCTGATCAAAGTAAAATTTACATATAAAATCACTGAGTGGAAGTGAATATCTTTTTACAACTACCTAAAGAAGATGAAGTAGATCAACAGTAGCACGTTTACAAGTAAACAGACACACAGGACCCCGATAACACTGTAGAGAGCGACATTATTGTCGTCGCATTCCTTTACTGTGAAAACAAAATACTGAAATAAGACAGTGCTCATTTTATTCAAATATGTGTTTTTTCACAGAAAAAGCAAATGAACAGTAAATTTTCAAGGCAAAGTGGATGCTTATTTAAGGAATGAAACTTATTTCAACTTTTGTTTAACGATATATCATAACTTATAACATAAGTAGGAATAAGCTTCGTTCCTTATAATTTAATTTCAATGTAGTCAATGAGACAATTTTTTCTATTTTTTTCCCTTGGAAAAAGGCTTCAAATATAGCATATTTTAAATGTTAACGTCAAGGGGAATAATACATTTTATACGTAACTCATTGTGACGTAGGCAAGTTATGTTATACAAAATGAATAAAACTGTTTAACCAATCAAACGAGTTGTTAAAACTAAATTTAAATCATTTTACATTGTACATGTGAAATCAAATTTAGCACATTGATCCCAGTAAAAGTAACAAAATCATTGACCTTGTGCAATTTGAAAGAACTTTTATTAGTAGAGTATGCATAGCAAACATAGACAACATACAAAACAGACAGACAAACAGAAAAACAGAGGGACAGAACAAAAACAATATGCGCCCCATGTTTATCGATCCGAGCCCAAAAATATGATGGAGCATGGATTATTTTCATACCTTCTAAGAAATCGAGTCCAATCCATCCATTTTTACAGCCATTGTTACAGGCTCCAGTCACGTGATCACAAATACCCGACACAGAACAAAACATGCTACATGTTTTGATGCAGCCAATTCCATACGTCCCATTTATGCAGACTATAAAAAACAATGGTGAACTTGTATATATTTTATTTTGTTTTATTTGCATTGGAAGATTTGAAAAAAAATCAGCTTTTTTAGATTCATTACTATGTTCAATTCATTTTTGTGAGATTGAATTTAGACTCTGTAAATGTTGGTAAACAGCCTTTATGATATAATTTATCAAACGGTATAACCCATTTATAGAAGTCAGGGAAAGATATCACAGCACTATTTAGTCGAAGTTTGCATTTCACGACTAATAGAAATGCCTACATTTAAATATCACATGTACATGTATAAATGTTATTTATGAAATTAAAAAACTGAAATGCATAGATTATAAAAGCTGGCTTTTAAATATGTTTTAAAATATAAACTTAAAATGATCTACATTTTTTTTTCATATTTTTTAGCAATACCATTTTTCCATGCACAACACAATTATGAAAGACACTTTTTGTACGTACATTTTTATGGTGGCATGTTTCTTCCCCTTACATGCAAGATAAATTAAGTAAACATAATTATGTAGACATGCAGCATATTATTATATGTAAACATGCGAGGTATTTCAGTTGAGGTGCAAGTTACCAATCATATGGGAAAATTTAAATTAAATATGGGCAGATTTACTTACGAACGCCTGTATCTGACATTTTAGATGCAACATGCAACATAACTTTGTAGACATGCGACTTATTTATGTCATTGTTCAACTTATTTATGTCAACATGCAAGATAATTATGTCAACATGGTTGTAAAATGTAGGCGGGAATTGAGATTTAGCATGCGTACTTCTTTCACTCAATAATTGACCTAAATCGATAAAAAAAAATGGGTAGCAACTTTTTCTTTGGCATGCGCTCTGTACCGAAGTAAAAGTTTCGGGTCTTTCGGATGAGACCTTAAAAGCCCTGTGTCCCGGTTGGCGTTGGTACTATAAACATCATTCACTGCTCAACATAAGCCCCTCCCTTACCTGGAATCAACCAGTAGGTAGCAAATCTCAGCCTTTAAACAAAAAGTATGGTGGCATAAGTCTGCCCCCTACATGCGAGAAAAATAATTTAGACATGCAACATATCTATGTAGACACGCAAGTTAATTATGTTGGCATGCAAGTTACCAAACGTATAAGAAAATATAAGCGGAATATGGGCAAATTTACATACTTACGCCTGAATATGACATTTTAGATGCAAGATGCAACATAATTATGTAGACATGCAAATTTATAAATGTTCGAACTTTTGCGCAGTGGTGTTTCTGGGGTTACTTTGAAAGTATAAATTTGCTCACTGATATTATGTTTTCAATGAATTTTTGTCGCAAAAGATATGAATTGAAATAGCTCGAGACCGATAGTATACAATTTCCTTACCAACTGAACCTACATGTTCAACATCAGGTAAACAAATCTTTTTTTATATAAACATTATCATTTAAGTATTAATGTTAAGCGTTGCTCGTGTGGTACAGCAGTTAGAGCGTATGCTCCTGAGAAGAACCTGAAACAACACAGAGTAAATATATTAATTAATCTTAGATATGAGATGGATGTACCTTCATTGCATGCATCTCCGATGTATCCAGAGTTGCAACCTGAGAGACACGACCCATTGATATGGTTACACTGAGCTCCATCCCTGCAATATCCACACTGCTTGCTACAATCCTCCCCAAACATATTGTGTCACACTCTACAAATTGATGATTTTGTATTTCATTTTATTTGACGAGAATCGCCCTCCCCTCTCTCTTTTAAAGCCATTTAAAAGTTTTACATATTTTCCATAATATAAGAATGTGATTAAAAGCTACTAGAAAGAGGCCAATAGGCCACTTTGCTCACCTGGGAACATAGGTAAGGTATAGTAAAAACACAAAGCAATTTTGATTTGAACAGTTAACTGAGGGTGGTGGTGGTACATGTAATACTACTTCAGGACTTCTGGATGTCGGCATATCAATGGAGCATACAAGTATCGATTTGCCGTTCTTGAAAAGATTTTAAAGATTTTAATCCTACATATTTCTATGTTTAAAAAGGATTGTCCATTTTTTACCTCCCCCTGTTCATGATTTAAAAAAGAATTAATTTTCATTACATGTCAATGCCTACATGTCAATATGACAAAGGCATTCTCTGTTCCTTGAGGAGATTTTATCCTATTATATTAGGTAAAACATTGATCTCATATTGTTGCCACACGTTAGCCCCAGGGGGAATTATTTGAGCAAATCTGAATTTGAACAACCCGAGGATGCTCCCATTTGTTCTATATAAAATCACCAGTTATGGCTTTGCTGTACTCCATAAAAATAAACATATTTTATCATATATTACTATGTAAACCTTAAATTTCATACTGTGTCGCCACCTATCACCAGGGGTTCTGATTTGCACAATCTTGATTCAACATTATCTTAGGATGCTCCCCATATTAATAAAGATAATCATATCTCTGTTGTTTTTAGGAGAAAGGTTTTTTTAACGATTCTTTCTTCATATTTCTATTTAAAAAATTGATTGCCCACTTTAGCCCCATCCTACCACAGGTGTCGACCAAGGAATCAAAACCACCCAAGGATGTTTTAACCTTAATATCACAATTCTGGCTATCCTCTTCAAGAGAAGGGTTTTTAAAAGATTTTCCTATATATCCCTATAGAAAAATTTGATTGTTTATTGTGACCCAGCCCTTCTTCTGGGGGTCATCATTTGAACAAACCGGAATATACACTGCATGGAAAGGATTTTGTTGCCTGGCCCAATGGTTCTTGAGAATATTTTTAAAAGATTCATCAATTTATCAATATTTCATTATATCTCCCCTTGGAAGAGGACGTGGCTTTTCATTTGATCAAACAAGAATCTCCCTCGTCGGAGGATACTTGTGGCAGGTTTGGTTGAAATTGTACTAATGATAATGTCTTGGAAAGAAAGAAATGTAAATGTATACAACAATGAGGGCAAGGATGACAACGACACGACAGATACGGTTAATTTTCGATCAGGCTAGCTAAATAAGGAAATGAATGCTTTTGATTAGGATAGAATGGGAAGAATAAAGAATATTGACGAAATTGATACATGTACCTGATTCACACTTGAGCCCTTTCCAGCCTGTTTTACAACCACCTTGACATGCACCAGATTTTTTTGTCACATCTGTCTGAATCAAGGCAGTGTACGCTGCAACTCCTTTCACAATTCCTACCATACCGTCCTATCGAACACGCTATCAAAATAGACGTAAAGTTTTTAATCGTAATTATACTATGGTTGATTGTTTACATTACATTTTTCTTAAATAAGTCATCCTGGAACATGATTGTTTGAGCTGCACGGCGCCTTAAATTTTGCGTCATTTAGGATTCTTTTCATAAGTAAAGAAATGAAATTTAAATGTGGTTAACTTTATGTATACAGATTTACCATTGTATTTACTTAGTGCAAACAGTTGTGTGAATTCAGGGTGTGAAAACAGGAACATGTAGTTGTGAAAACAGGAACATGTAGTAAATCAAGTCTAGCTTGAATACACACGACTGATTACGTAACTTTTGCATATTTAGCCAAGGTGCAGTAAGGGGATAAACAATTATTGGAAATGATATTAATTACCTAAAGTAGAGACAAAATGATTTATTTTATGCTTATTATAACTGATAAAAGACTATGATCAATAATTTTGATGTAAATTAATATTTTTTTTTTAAGTAGGGAAACATGACCAAAATTTCAGAGCATGACTGCATGTCATTTTACCTAAATGAGACTGAAATATCCTTTACCTTATACCATAAACTGACAAAGAGTGAATGAAATAAAGGAATATCTTTGTCAATTACATTTTATCATTTTCCTTTCATTTACATGCATACATTGTCCAAGTGGTCAAATGAACGGAAAATTTAAACCTGGCCTTTTTTTTTTTTACTTTTTTACAAAATAAATTGTTGATATTATAACACATTTGCACTTTTTATATTATAGATTTCAGTTATTAATTGTTATATATGTTTGTTAAGTCTGGAACCTCCCTTCCAAGGCTTTTAAATTGCTATTTAAAAAAGACACACGTTATAAATGAAACATAGGAAGATAGCGAACAGTATTCAAGATCAAAAAGCCATAAAACAATACAAAATAGGAGCAGAGCAAATACGGACCTCCAAACCATCAGAGGTGGGATCGGGTGCGTATTCAATATCAGACTGCTTGTTGAAATGAAGATGACATTCACATGTTGGTTTATTTTAAGTGGATTCAACATTTAAAACAAAGTGTGGAATAAAAACAAATTGTAGTACTCTTAGCATATACTTCGTGGGGTGTATAGTATATACACTTGTCGAGAGGAGATATGAGAATGCCATTCCTTTCATCGCAAATAGAGGCAAAAAATATTTTCACTCAAGTGGGAGCACTAATCACATCTAATGCGGAATGATCATAAAACAATTTTATTTTAAAAAACTAGAATTTTACCGTAATTAAAAGTATATTGGATAATTTTTTTTTATTGTAGAATCATTCGAATATTTTTTTTCATAATATTCAATGTATGATAGTTATGAAGTATATGTCCTATGATAAATACATTCTACGTTTGAAATCAAAATTCACACTCTTAAGCAAGAAACAAGCAAAGGGGTGTTCTTTAAATACAAATATTGTTTTAATGGGGAAAAATAGGTACGTGTTAAACTGAATGAAAATAAAGTTAATTCTGTATTAGAAATATTTACCATGGTCACATTTTTCTCCGTAGAATCCAAGATCACATTCGTTCAAACAAGAACCGTTAACATTGTTCAAAGTTCAGACAATCCCCACAAGGATTCGAGCAGTTTATACCGTAATATCTCTCACTACATTCTAAGGAATGAATTGAAATTTAGATCAATTAAAAGAGGACCTGGAGAGATATACTGCACATATAATTCTTGGCATATCTTAAACTCCATTAAAATTTTTAAAAATGAAATGCAAAAATCCTTTCGGAGATCAGGACTTGATGTAGGCAATAAATTTCTTAAGGACTTTCGATCCTGGGCCTTTTGAGCAACTTTAAGTTCTGAACTTTATTTACAAATTCTGCTACGTTTTTAGGTTCTAAAATTAAATCTTGATTCAGCGATGCGAATTGAACAATATTCAAAGAAAAAAAAACTGTGATCTAACTCCATTCAAGTAGAATTAAGCCAGGAACTATATTTTGTGGCGAAAGTCTTTTTTATAAGAAAATAATCAATTTTCCCTTTAAAACTATATACATTACTGTTAATATAAGATTCCCATTTTTCCATGCTGGTTGCACACAAAACTGTTTTTGTAGTAAAATGTGTTGGTTCTGAAACATCTATTAAATTTATTTATTTATTTTGAATTTTTTCAACAAACTGTGACAAATATAGTTGATATATTCTGAAATTCCAGGAAAAAATGAGCAAATTTTCACATAAATTTGACACTTTTTAGTAGTATCTTATATAATTTCCCCCCACTTTTGATGTTTATTTTTGAATATTTAAGATAACTTTGACAGATCTGCTTAAATTCAGCAAAAGTTTTAAAAAGTTTTAAAGGAATTTCTTACATATTAAATATTAATTGCCAGGAAGATCACATTCTGTGAGTGCAGGAAGGTCAAATAATTTATCATTCGAAGCAATTGGATACTCTTTCTCCGTCAAAATTAAATGAAAAAAATAATAGACTGATTGCTTATTTCATTCCATGCCTCTTTTTCGGTAAAAAATAAATGAGGGAAAACGTCAAAGATGTAATTTTTGATTAAGACACAAATTTCAGTGCACAAAATCATATTAAATGTACTGTAGAGCCAAAATAAGCATATTGACCCCCATATTTTTATTTGATTTTTAAAGCCATGCCTGCAGAAAGTAAAAATATACTTGACCAAAAAAAATAAAACCCCACAAGAAAGCCAACCTCGTTAAATGTAATACGTTCTTAAAGCCTGCACGATTGATTTCTAGTTCTTGAAACAATGTGTGCATACCATTAAGGATGTCAACGAGTCCCAGGTAAACCGATCGAACATCCTAGTATCAAACACCGAAATTCGTATTTCGTTCTTTTTTTTCCTTTTAAATACGCGCATATGTTCATAAATTTTATAGAAATATTTATAAAACTTATAAATTTAATATGCAGGCGGTTTTTAGCATGGTATCTTCTAACTATGTGAGACACCCGTTATCGCACAGTAATTAGTGAACAATTACCTTGAACATATCAGTTCTTCCCTATAGTTGTATAAAGTGGCTTCTGTTCAATGATTTGATTTTAGTAAGCATTTTTTAATTATGCACTATTATCTCTAATTCATTCTCAAATCAAATCATTATGTTGGTTTATTTACTTGAAATTGGAAATGCATAGAGACCTCACTACCCACTTTAAAAGTATTTTTAAAAAATGTTTAGAAATAACGGAAGTTTCATAAACATGTAAAAAGTTATTTGTATGGAGTAAATTTAAGGTTACAAACAACATATGATATACCATACAACTTGCGACTCAACAAACGATGTTCCTTTTCTTTCAACTAGTCTACTCGTGACAAAGCCTGCATATCAGACTGTCATCCTATTCATTGCGGTGATCAAGTTGATATTAAGCAGGAACTGTAAACCGTTTGTAATTACTGGTCT